TAGCCCTGCCAGTCACTATTCGTGGCACCCTGCTCCCATACCTGGCACTTTAAATGCGTCCGGTCGCTTCTCACTTCCCCACAGTACCCCATCTTCATTTGTCCAAACTGTCGTGCCGGTGCCGATCTCGAAGCCGATGTTGATGATGCCGCCGAAGACTGGGACCAGCTCGACGGCAACGAGGCCGACGCTGAGGTGGAGGCCATCAAGGAGGAGGCGGAGCCAGCGGCCCCGGCAGAAGTACGCAATGAGACACCAAGTGACCTCCCCTCGCCTCCACAGACTGCGCCGCCTCCTCCCCCGGTAGAAGATGAAGCAAGCATGGATATCGACCCTGCGGAAATGACGATGATGAATATGACCGTCGTCGAGTCCTCTGAAAGCCAGCCAAACTTGACTCACACTACGTCTGAGCCAGTACCAATAGCAAACCCGGCATCCGGGGCTGGTCGAGCTTCGAGAGATGGAAAGACTCCTTCGCCCCCTCCCGCTGGGGCTGAGGGTCCGATTACCCCCAGAAACGAAGCCGGGCCCTGGGTATTTGATGGTAGTGGTCAGCGAAATCCGGAGGCAGGCCAGGCAATGGGAAGCCTAGATGCAGCGGCAGACATGCTTAACGGGACTACGATAAATAGCCCGAAGCGGTGACGTGGCGGCCAGGCGTTTTCCATCTCTCTCTCTCATCGGCAATCTTTCATCTGAGGCAGATAATGGACATATTCTTTTGTTGTTGGGGCTGGCCTCCGTTTTCTTCTCTTCCCGAACAGGAATCGTCGACGAGGAGAGAATCTTGGAGTATTGTTTGCTACAGCCGTTCTGGGTGGTTATACATTGTCTTTGGTCGTTTAGGAATCATCATCATCATCACGGTCCAGGAGTATGGGAGTCTTAATACAGCATTTTCATGGCCCGGGATAAAACGACAAGGAGGGTTTTACGAGGTAGAGAAGGAAATTTTCCCTGTTGGTATCTGTCTAGTTTTTTTTGTCCCGTCTTGTTTTTGGGAGGTCACGGTGAACTGAGGGCATGGGCGCACTCGATTGTTTCGACGAACACGAGGGAGGAATATTGGAGCTGTTTCCACAATCACGATGAGGGCATATTTTGTCAATGTGGCTTTTTAGTATAATATCGACAGAGCATATTACGTACCCCTGCAGACTTTGATATGCTTCTAATAGACTTGTCTTTGTGTTTATCTGACAGGTCGTCAGCCTCATGGGCTGTGCGCTCGTGATAACGAGAGGGTGCCTATCAGCACTCATGGATTCTGAACGTGCTGGTGTGATCTCAGCTATCATTATATGTGCAGTCAAAACGCGGGGCTAACACGTGAGTACCATCTTTACATACCTTTCCCCGAGAGATATGGAATCACATAGTCAGCGTGAAGATATCTCGCATAAAGCTCATTCGGCATATTGGTGCATGGGGCCAGTAATTGCTCTATTTGCTGCGAATGGGATGGCCACATTTGTGTATTTGAGAGGGCTGTACGTATATACGAGACACTTATTAGACAAGGGCTACAATCGGCTTATGTTGTTCGTCGTGTATTGGTACATAGGCACTGATCAGCGATTTACTAAGTGCATACTCCACCACGGCAAACGCACCCAGAAGCCAGCACATGTAACAGATCGCAGTGGCTCTTGCAGCGCTTCTGTCTTCGCCACTAAGTAGAGGCCAACATTGGAAGGCACCTAGGCCGAACACCAGGCAACAAGTGGGGGCCTACAGTTCGCGAGCGTGAGGTGGTCTGTGGTTCACCAAACCCGGGCACTAGCACATGCGGCGCGCGCAAGCTGGAACGGAGCCAGGAGCTTACACCAGACAACATCCAGAACGTGGCGATCCCTGTGACTGCCACGACTTGCACTCTCACAGCTCCGATGGATACACAACCTCGCAGCCCTATCGACCCTTCATGATGCTCCCTCGAAAGAGGCAGCGCCGGGATCTCCCAGAGTCCAGCGGCTCCTCAGTCGCCAACACCCCTGTACCGACGCCTGCAAAGGCAACTAACTCCTCGACGTCATCACTGGACCAACCAAACTCGCAGCAGCAGACGCTGACCCTCAACCCTTCCGGTTCAGACCCCACGGCTCAGTCGGCCCAGCCACTTCCCATGCACCAGGTAAGTTAATATTCGTTCTCAAGCAGATCGGCCCGTCTGTTCAACTAATACTAACTTCAATCCGATAAACAGGTCCGCAAAACACAAAGCTGGTACGGATCTTGGCCCAGGGCTCCCAAGGCGTCGGCTTCCACCTCGGTCGCGCGCGAAACTATATTTGGAGATAGTGTAAAGTCAGACAAAGGGCCTGATCTCGAAAGGTTTGAGCCCAAGAAGGATGTTACCGACGCCATCGGCTCACAAGCCACGCTGATGGAAGGCAATATTGGATTACCCAAGGTGCCTGAGGATGAGGCTGCCGACAACCCCGCCGAGCCGGACAAGGAGCCAATGCCCACGACGAAGGACAGCCAACAGGCAGCTTCTGTAAACTCAGCCACTACCGCGGTTGACAGGGCTGGTAGTATCGAGATGCCAACGCCTGCAAGGCCGGCCACATCATCGGGGTGGCTCGGCTGGTTGTCGAAGACGCCTTTCACTGATACGCAGCCCAGCACGGCTGCACCTCCTCCGGAAAGCAAGGATGACATGAAAGTCGATGAGCCCGAACGCCCGGTCACCCCGCCAGCCCAGACTGAAATTACCGAGCAAGCTCAGGGAGAGCCTGAGCAACCCGTGGCCGCGCCGCAGTCCACGTCTTGGTTCGGGTTATGGGGCGCGTCTCCCGCTCGCAACAACAAGCCATCACCTAAGCCCGAGCCTCAGCCGGATATCCAAACTACAGACACTACGGAAACGGCACCAACTGCAGCTACACCACAACCACCGCCACCCACACAGAATCAACCGATGACTGAACCCCCACCCAAGGCTGGCTCGACATGGGCGTTTTGGTCGAAGGATTCGCCAAAGCCCAAGGGAAACATCTCTTCTCCCCAGGACCCTGGAGAAATTGCAGTTATGGGTGAGGGCTCAGAAGCACATCCTCATCCGATAGCCGAGGGCGATGTTTCCAACACCCCTTCAAAGGCCCCCAAAGAGAAAGCCAAGGTTGAAGATCCAAAGCCTAAATCAACATGGAGGAGGAGTAACAAGAGAGTGCGACCAGTCTCGATGGATTTGGAATCTCAAGCATCAACCCCGTCCGGACAAATGAGCCCGGCGAAGCCAGGAACACCACAGCCCCCTTCTCAAGCCGAAGAACCAGACTCCAACAAGACTGCCAAAGCAAGCCAGTCAAAACTAAGCAAGGTGACGCCAGAGCCCGAAACCCAAACTCAAACTCAAATGCCAGCCAACTCGCTCCTCCCTTCGTTCACAAGCACCTATCAGATGAAAGAGAACCCATCTATCATCAAGCAGATTGCAAGGCTTTTGCTTCGTACTCAGAACCCGCCCGCCAATCATGTGTACCGGGTAAACGAGCCGCCCAAAATTCGTAAAGCGATAGCAATTGGCGTTCATGGTCTCTTTCCAGCTACTTACTTGCGGCCAATGATGGGCCAACCCACTGGTACCTCATTACGGTTCGCCGGTCTCTGTGCAGATGCCATCAGAAGATGGACAGATAGTCACGGTTGCGCTGATTGCGAGATTGAGAAAGTAGCCCTGGAGGGCGAAGGCAAGATCAGTGAGCGTGTGGATAATCTCTGGAAGCTTCTTCTCAACTGGATCGAGCACATTCGGGGTGCAGACTTGGTCCTCATTGCCTGTCACTCGCAGGGTGTCCCGGTAAGCATAATGCTCATCGAGAAGCTCATTGACCTCGGTATCGTCACCAGCTCCAGGATTGGTGTTTGTGCAATGGCAGGTGTGTCCCTCGGGCCGTTCACGGATTATAAGTCGAGCATATTCATGGGTTCTGCCGCAGAGCTTTGGGAATTTGGCAACCCCCAGAGCAACAATTCACAGCGCTTCGAGGCGGCTTTGAAGCGAGTTTTAGATTATGGAACCAGAATCACATTCATCGGCAGTATCGATGACCAGGTAGTTCCAATGGAGGTCAGTAAACATCACGCTTGTTGATTTGACGAAGCTAACTTGACGTCCACGCTGCAGTCTGCGATCTACTCTCCTGCCAATCACCCATACATATATCGGGCTGCGTTCATAGATGGTCGGATCCACGCCCCCGACTTTATCGCACATCTCGTCGGCTTTGCTCTCAAGCTCCGCAACCTCGGGATTTCAGACCACGGCCTCATCCGGGAGTTGTCCATCCCACTTGCCGGCTCGCTTTACTCAGGTGAAGGTCACTCCAGGTTGTATTTTGACTCTGCGGTCTACGATCTCGCCATCTCGCACGCCCTTGAAACTACACCTACCCCTCATCCAGCCCCTTGTTCGATCCAGCATCGCGCCGCAGCGGCTGGCACGCAACCCAATCCGTATGTACTCCCATGGATTATGAGAGGTCTTCTGGAGGAAGACTTCGTAAAAACCGAGCTCAGCCATGAGACCGATGAGTTATTGAAGCAGTTTGATGCCTGGAAGCCAGTCAACAAGGCTCTCAAGGATGTAAAATACAGATTAGAAGCGGTTCGCTCAAAGCTATGACGATAATGTTTCCTTTTTTCTCATTTTTTCGTTCATCTACGCACTCAATGCCAAAACCACCCCTTAGATCAGGATACACCAGCGCTTTTATGATGGTCGCCAAGGCTTGGGAATAGATAGCATCGCATTTCAGTTACTCGATATACCCTAAATGTAGTTTGCAATAAACATTTTTTCTTTTTCAAATCTATGCCAACTCCGTTTCGCTCTCTCTTTGCCATAAGAAAGAGAGGTCATACATAGTCTATTGGTACATATATATAAAAAATTACACCTGAAAACCGTGCCTCTTTGTTTCGTGAGTGTCATCCCTTCCATATTTAATTTTTTACAGTCATCGCTCTCTACAGGTATCCCTTTTCTTCGTCTATGCCTTGCGGCCCAGGTTCCACTTGTCGATGCGATCCTGGATCTTGTCCCAGCTCATGGTGTGGCTGGTCAGGCCGTACGCCTGCGCCTCCTGGAGGACGACGGTGGGGGCGCCGCTGCCGGCGCCGACGTTGCCGGTCCTGCCGCCAAAGACCTCGTCGGCGACGCGGCGCAGGTCGGCGACGGTGAGGGCCTCGATGCGGCGGCACATCTCGCGGACGGGGACCTTGCGGCCGTGGACCTGGACGGAGCGGCCGAGGTCCTCGAGCTCGACCATGCGGGACTCGAGGTTCATGAGCAGGCTGGAGCGGAGCTGGTTCTTGGCGCGCTCGACCTCAGTGTCCTGGAGGCGGGAGAAGCCGGTCTCGACGGTGAGGGCGTGGAGCTGCTGGCACATGATGTCGAGCATGGCGGAGGTGTGGCCGGGGAGGCAGGAGGCGGAGATGCCGAAGAGGCCGGAGTCTGTGTAGGAGTGGTTGAAGGCGATGCAGGACTCGACGAAGCCGTGCTGGTTCAGGACGTTGGTGTAGAGTCGGGAGTACATCCCCTTTCCGGGGCCGCCGGCTGAGAACGAGCCGCCGCCGCCGAGGAGGGTCTGGAGGGTGGCCAGGGCGTAGATGTCGTCTGAGGCGACGGGGAGACCCTCAAAGGCGAGGTGGATGTGAGTGAAGTTGGTGTTGTTCAGGGACGGGGGTTGAGGGGGGAGGGAGAGGAATCCTCCAGTGTAGTGGGATGGTTGGCGGATTTCAAGTTCGGAGGGAGGGGTATTAAGAATGGCAGCGCCATTGGGGGCGGTAGTGGAGATGTTCTTGAAGAAGGGAATCTTGGAGAGGATCTTGGGGGAGCTTCGAGGCGACGAAGCGGCGGAGGAGGTGACGCTGGAGAGATCGGATTCGCTAGTGACGCTCTCACTGGTCTCTGATCCTGTCGTCGTCGTTTTTGATGTCGAGTGCATGTCGCCGAAGTATTGCTCTGCCAGTTGGACAGCCTGACCGTGCTCAACACCAGCAAAAGCAAGCACCATCCTCTCTGGTCTATAGAATAAGTCCCTGTACATCAGGACAGAATCGCGGTTGATTACCCCGAACCGGTCCTCCGGGCACAGAAGCGGGTTTCCCAAGGTGTTGTCCTTGAACGCAGCTGTGTGAACCAGTTCTGGCAGAATGAGCTCGGGTTTACTCCAGATCTCGGCAACTTCGTATCGCGCCGTCTCAATCTGAGCAGCAACCTCCTCCTCAGTGATCTGGGGATCGCGGATCGTCTCGGACAGCAGGCCGACCGTTTGAGGCACGGCTCCGTTGAAGGTTGCTGCTTGGTACATCATGGATTCACGCGATGACGCACACTGGATGTTCCCGCCCAGAGCCTCCACCGTTTCCAACATCTCATCAGCGGTGTGCTTCGATGTCGACTTGAAAGCTAGGCGATCCATAATGTGCGATACGCCGCGCAGCGCTTGGTTCTCAAATCGTGATCCAGCCTCGATGTAGACTCCCACACCGGAGAAGGACCCGGGGAGGGCCTCTGAAGCCACCCGCAATCCATTTGGAAGGGTTGTGATCTGGTCGAGCTCTGTGGGTTCCTGTATTACAAGTTGTTAGTTTCGTGGTTCCTCCGAAAGTACACAATGACGGCAAAGTCGAGGTATGAATCGTCACCAACCTTGGGTATCCCTTCGACGGAGATAGTAGCCAGTGACCTTCTCGGTATAGAGCTCTGCCTGGTGTTTGCCAACAAGCTCGAGCATGCGGCCCTTGCCCGAGGCTGTAATCTGGAACCAAAATTACGCAGCATCTTTGGATAAACACCAGAAAACACTACGTTATGACTGGAACTCAGGCGATGTGCTTCTCCGAGAGTAGGGTGGAAATTTGTAATGCGAAGAACCAGTCCTCGGCGATTGTTCGGATCGGTGCATCCCCATTCCACCAAAACCCCGGATCTTATCGCGCTGCAGCTAATCGCTTATCAGCTGTCCCGCTGTCGCCCAAGGAAAAAAAAATTCGGAGCGCATCAGCAAAGGCAGCCCATACTCAGCCAAAACGAGTGTGACCTTTGAGCGACCGCAAGCAATTGGGTTGCTCGATTCTGCACATTCACAGACGCAATGAGCTCCCTCAAGCGGAAGGATGCCCCCGGGGGTCATCTTCCTGCGAAATCAGCAAAAAAAGTTAAAGAAGGTCGACAATCGAAGCCGGATGTTTCAGCCAAGGATACAACCAAGTCGCCCGCAGCAAAGACCAGCGACAAGCCCAAGCCGGCGGTCGTATCGGTGCTTAGGGATGAAGAGCCACTGTTCCCCCGTGGAGGTGGAAGCATTCTGACACCACTAGAACAGAAGCGCATTCAAATTGAAGCCAAGGCGGATGCTCTTCGCGAGGAAGAATTCAACACTGGCAAGAAGTCGACCAAGAAGGCCAAGAAGGCTAAGCCAGGCTCCAAGGGTGATAAGAAGAAGGGAAAGGTCACTGAGGAGGACTTTGTAAAGATTGAGAGTCTCGGCTTCAAGGTAAGAGTTTTCCCTTCAAGCTCACTGTGATGCGACAGGGTCTGATAGTTGAACAAACAGAAATTGGCCAAGGGTACCTTGATACTCGGCCAGGTCTCCAAGATCAACAACCTCGATATCGAAGTTACGCTTCCGAATAACCTGATCGGCCATGTATCCATCGTGTCTATTTCTAGTCAATTGACAGACAGGCTGGAAGACACCGCAGAGAAAAGCGACAACGAAGAGGAGGAGGAGGAGACCAACGACAAGGATGTAGATCTGAAGTCAATCTTTGTGATTGGACAGTACCTCAGAGTGTCTGTCTTATCTACAGTCGATGAATCAGTTGCAGGAAAGGGAAAGCGGAGAATCGAGCTCTCTCTTCGCCCCAGCGAAACCAACACGGGGTTAGAAAAGGACGATTTGGTTGCCAACAGCACCGTCATGGCAGCCGTAATTAGCGTCGAAGATCGAGGCTGTGTTATGGATTTGGGCATCCCCGACTTTCGAGGATTCCTTCCCAAGGCCGAGGTTGATCCTTCGATCACCGAGGATCGTCTACAGCCCGGTGCTGTGTTCCTTTGCGCTGTCACGGGCAAGGCATCTGGCGGCAAGGTGGCTCAGCTCACTGTTCTCCAGAAACGATTGGGAAATATCAAGGCCGTTCCCGGCGAAGCCACTAGTATCAAGACTTTCCTTCCAGGAACTGCTGCAGATGTCCTCGTCTCGAATGCTGATCGTCGCGGGTTGGCTGGCAAGATCTTGGGATCCTTGGACGCTACTGCGGATATTATTCATTCCGGTGCTGGACCCGATGGGAAGAGCCCGGAAACTGCTCACAAGATCGGTTCTAAAGTAAAGGCGAGGATCATTTGCACGTTCCCTACGGCAAAAGAGCCCAAGTTGGGAATTTCCCTTCTCCCTCACCTCACTACCCTCGGAAGAAAACGCCCCGAAAAGGCAAACCGCATGAAGCTCCCTACAGAAGTTCTCTCTGTCTCGTCGCTGGTTGAGAAGTGCACAGTCTCTCATGTTGAGAACGATATCGGTCTATTCGTCGACATCGGAATCCCTGGCGTGAAAGGCTTCGTGCACATCTCACGAGTGAAGGACGGCAAGGTTGACGCCCTCTATGAGACGAGTGGACCTTTCAAGGTTGACTCTGTCCACAGGGGTAGGGTTGTTGGATACAACGAGATGGATGGTATTTTCAATCTCTCATTCCAGAAGAGCATCCTAGAGCAGCAATACATTCGTCTTGAAGACGTCCCCATTGGAGCTGTTGTAACAGCCGAGGTGGAAAAACTGATCATCAATGAAGACGGCGTCTCTGGTCTTATCCTCAAACTCGCGGATGGCATCACTGGGTTCGTTCCCGAGCGTCATTTGTCCGATATCAAACTTCAACATCCAGAGAAGAAATTCAAAGAGGGCCTCAAGGTCAAGGCACGTGTGCTTTCCACCAATCTCTCCAAGAAGCAGATGCGACTCACAATGAAGAAGACCCTCGTCAACTCAGAGGCTCCAGTTGTGAAGTCTCACGATGAGGTTAGTGTGGGCATGCAGTTTCCCGGAACCATCGTGAAGATGCAAGCGAATGGTGCATTCATCCAGTTCTATGGATCATTAAGGGGCTTTCTCCCAGTGTCTGAAATGAGCGAGGCATACATCCGCGATCCTAGCGAACACTTCCGTTTAGGTCAAGTCGTTTCAGTCCACGCCCTCGACGTTGATCCCGAAGCCAGAAGACTGGTCGTCTCATGCAAAGATCCTTCTGCCTTTGGTCTAGAAAAGCAAAGCGCTTTGAAGAAGCTCCAGCTTGGTGACTTCGTTTCCGCCAAGGTCACTCAAAAATCCGATGACCAAGTTTATGTTGAGCTGTCCGACAGTGGACTGAAGGCGGTACTTCCTGTAGGCCACCTCACAGACAAGTCGGCCTCGAAGAACCAATTCAGCTTGAAGAGAATTGCTGCTGGACAAACTCTTTCTGATCTTATGGTTATCGACAAGGACGAAAAGCGAAGGGCAATCATTCTTACTCAGAAGCCAAGCTTGATCAAGGCTTCCAAGGAGGGCAAGCTTCTCTCTAGCTTTGACGAGGCCAAGGAGGGTCTTGTCGTCGCTGGTTTTGTCAGAAACATTACTCAAACCGCTGTCTTTATTCAATTCGCTGGCAGCTTGCATGCGCTCTTACCAAAGTCGCGCTTGTCAGCCAAGTCTCAGGCTCAGCCTGAATTCGGCCTTTCCAAGCACCAGTCTATCGAAGTTCGGATCATCTCCGTAATTAACGACCTTCAGCGCATTCTTGTCGCCCCCTCTACCAGCGATGATGATGCCGAAAATAGCACTGACAAGAAGACTAAGGAAAAGCTGGCCCCATCAGATGATCTTGCTTGGGGCAGCATCACTAAGATCAAAATCACTTCCATCAAGGAAACCCAGCTCAATGTTCAAGTCGTTGAGAGTAACGTGCAGGGACGCATTGACATCTCACAAGTCTTCGACAGCTGGGACGAGATCGATAACCCTCAGGAACCACTGGGCAAATTCCACAAACAACAAATTATGAAGGCAAAGGTTATTGGAGTTCACGACGCCAAAGACCATCGCTTCCTTCCCTTTTCTCACAGGTCGGCTCACTCCGTTCTCGAAATGACCGCGAAGCGTAGCCAGCTCAAAGACGCAGAGCTCGAACCACTGTCCTTGGACAAGATCAAAGTTGGTGATCAGCACATTGCCTTTGTCAACAATGTCAATGCGCAATTCCTTTGGGTGAACTTGTCACCAACTGTCCGAGGACGCATTCCTGCGATGGAGGCATCAGACGACCTGTCGGTTCTTAGCGACCTCCGTGAGAATTTCCCCGTTGGCTCCGCTCTTAAAGTGAGAGTTACTGGTGTTGACGCTGAGAATAACCGCATTGATCTTTCTGCGCGCTCATCTGACTCGACCGATGCGATCACCTGGAGCTCACTGAAACGGGACATGATCCTTCCAGGCAGGATCACCAAAGTGAACGAGCGACAAATTCTGGTTAAGCTGAGCGATGCTGTTTCTGGGCCGGTGCATCTTCCCGATGTGGTTGACAACTTCGACGACGTGGATACCTCCAAATTCAAGAAGAACGACATCGTCCGAGTTTCCATTGTCGATGTCGACACCAGTAACAAGAGACTGCGCTTATCGTTGAGGCCTTCGCGAATCCTGAGCTCCACACTCCCAGTTGCCGATAAGGAAATCAGCGACTTCACTCAGCTTTCGACTGGCGACATCATTCGAGGATTTGTCAAGAACGTTTCAGACAAGGGATTGTTCGTTCTCTTGGGCGGGCAGGTCACCGCTCTCGTGAAGATTTCCAACCTGTCCGACAGGTTCATCAAGAACTGGAAAGATGAGTTACAGGTTGATCAGCTTGTCAAGGGCCGTATTCTCTCAGTCGATCCTGCCACGAAGCAAGTTGAGCTGAGTCTGAAGGCATCCATGGTCAATGAGGACTACACTCCTCCAACCACCTTCAATGATATCAAGGAAGGTCAGGTTCTCACTGGCAAGGTCCGAAAGGTGGAGGATTTCGGTGCTTTCATTCTGATTGACAACTCGGCAAACGTCAGTGGCCTGTGCCATCGCAGCCAGATGGCTGAGAAGCCCGTCCAGGACGCAACCAAGCTCTACAAGGAAGGAGATGCAGTCAAGGCAGTGGTCTTGGAGATTGATGCCACCAAGAAGAGGATCAGCCTGGGTCTCAAGCCGTCTCTGTTTGATGACGAGGATACCGACATGGATTCAGATGATTCGGACCAAGGTGCTGCACTTCTTGATGAGGATGACAGCGATGAAGATGTCGACATGGATGATTCCGGAGCCCAACTTAAGATATTGGGCACAGATAACACTGAGGATTCCGACGACGATGAAGAGGATGAGGATGAGGACGATGAAGAAGACGATGACGAGGAGAGTGAAGATGATTCCGATGAGGATGATAAGCCAGCTAAGAAGACGAAGGGTCTCGGGGCAGGCAAGAAGTCGGATTGGTCCGCTGATCCATTCGCCAACGCTGACTCTGATGCCGAAATGGAGGACGAGGGCCAGGATGAGGACAAATCGAAGAAGAAGAAGAGGAAGAAGGCAGAGTTGCAAGTCGACAGGACGGCTGAGCTCGATGTCAAGGGCCCTCAGACGTCAAGCGATTACGAAAGGCTCCTTCTCGGTCAACCCGACTCGTCAGAGCTGTGGATTGCTTACATGGCTTTCCAAATGCAAGTCAGCGAGCTATCAAAGGCAAGAGAAGTCGCTGAACGTGCTATCAAGAGCATCAACATCAGAGAGGAGACCGAGAAACTCAATGTCTGGGTTGCATACCTCAACTTGGAAGTGGCCTATGGTAACAAGCAGACTGTCGAGGATATCTTCAACCGCGCTTGCCAGTACAACAACAAACAAGAAATCTACGAGCGACTGGCTAGTATCTATATCCAGTCTGAAAAGCTCAAGGTAAGAAATGATCTTGTTCCACAAATCATACATACGTCAGCCACTAACATGATTAAACCAGGATGCCAATGACTTGTTTGAAGCCATGGTTAAGAAATTCGGTTCCCAGGCCCCTAGCGTTTGGCTCAATTATGCCCACTTCCTCCACGTCACCATGAACGAGCCCGGTCAAGCTCGCGCCCTCCTCCCCCGAGCTACACGCCAGCTTGGAGACAAGCACAGTCAGAACATTATCAGCCGCTTCGCTGCCCTTGAATTCCGCTCTCCCAATGGTGAGCCAGAGCGAGGACGAACCATGTTCGAGGGTTTGCTGGCTGCCTGGCCCAAGAAGGGTGACTTGTGGAGTCAGCTTCTTGATCTGGAGCTTGGCATCACTGGTGAGGGAGCCGATCCCACAGCTGTCAGGGACGTTTTTGAGAGACGAACCAGGGTGAAGGGCCTGAAGCCCCAACAAGCCGAGAAGTGGTTCCGCAGATGGGCTTCATGGGAAGAGAAGACCGACCCCAAGGGTAAGGACAAGGTCATGGCAAAGGCACAGGCCTGGGCAGCTACTTTCAAGGCCAAGAAGGAGGCCGAAGCAGCTGCTGCAGAAGATGAGGAGGAGATGGATGAGTAGATACAATATCTGCATCTCTGGCGTTTAAAAGGGGATACCATCTATTTTATATTTCATATAATCAATAGGTTAAATTTTACACATGCAGCAACCCTTTGCGCATTCAAGTGAGTTCTACTAGCTATATATCAATGTCCAGGGTCAACAGCATAGTAAGGCTACCTAATCTTGAGGTTAGTCTGTTTTACCCCTTTGTTCGTTTGGGCCCATGACTCTCAGGCGGGTGGTTGAGACATTCCAGAGACATTCCGTGGCCGATCAAGTCAACGTTGACCTTGTTTGTCAAGTTGACCGTTGGGCGCATTCCAGTATACAACCTTGAGTAAGACACCCTGATGTTTCTTGGGAGCCTCTGGCGGTTTCGAGGATGAATCCAAAATGCGACCTCAAGTGGCCGCTAGAATGCTACTTGATGCGTTCCTTAGCTACTGCATTATCAAACACAGTCATCAGAGAAGTAGTGTACGAGCTGCGCTAAAAAAAACCTCGCGATGTCCTTGGAATCCATCGACATTGGAGGTGGTCTAGGGTTGCTTGTCTAGGATACCCATACCAGGAAGTCCATTTGCTATGGGTCCAACTCGGTGCCCAAGCGCCGTCGGTATCTGTGCGTTTTTCCTTTCTTTTCCGATGGGATGGGGTTTTGAATGGTTCAACCAGCCCGGCATTAACACAGGTTCGTTAATGCGCTTAGCACGATCACATGGGGTCATCATCAGCTCGTTCCATTTTGCAGTTAGTTGCCACTGACAACAACCATCACGGAGGTGGCTGCTTGGACTGGATGATGCATGTAATACTGAGTATTATGTCCAATTGGTTTTCACACGTATCAAAACACGTCCCTCCGGGATAAGCGTGACAGTTATATGTGACCAATTGAGAAAACCTTGAGGTGATCGCTCACATGGGCATCAAACAAGCAAAACCGACATAAGTCAATGCAATGGGGATGAAACCCTAACAAATAGTATTTCAACTCGTCATAGGGTAGACAAATCCAAAAGGGGGCTTCGTTCAGTCTGAGACTGGGATTGATGAATACGGGTTCAGAATCAGCATATTTCGCACAAAACATTAACGGCCCCATCCATGATCATATACTCAAGACCAGGTATTGCTTTTTCAAAGGCATACGAGTCTGCTGAGGGGAGGGAACATGATTCGTGATTGCGAGGGACCGAACACCGGAAACCCGGTAGGAGGTAATTAGCCACATGTGCGTGTGCATACGCATATTCCTTCCTGACGGACATTTGTTTACATGCACATCCTCCTTGCTGCCGTCCTGCCTGCTTTTGCTGTCCACAGGATGCACATCAATCGGGCTGCATCACCCCAGCAAGGCTCGATCTGACAAAGCGCACCGTCTCCAAACCTACCTTGCCTTAAACGTGAACGATAGTCGACCAACCAGAGGGCAAGACGTCGCGATAGGTGCTCACGAGACGGACGTGATGGATGCTGTTGTTGCACAGGCCCGATGCAGTGCATAAAAACAGGCGCCACTGGGAGCCACTGACAAGGTTCCGGTGCGCAGGCTGTGAAACAAGGTTGCATCTGGCCCGCAGAGCTGCCGCCGAGCACCTCCCTGACTCGTTGCAGGCCTCCAGCTATCGGCCACTGGCTGTAGGCTCTTTGGCTGGGGCCAGCAGCGGGGGCCAGCAGCTCGTTTGTTGCCATGCCAACCCCCACCACAACAGCGCGCAGAGGCCGTTGGATCAGTGGAGTGGTGCCCTGTAGACGTTATCCCCATTATGCGCCAGTAAATAGTGCGGTACCTGCGCACTGCACTGCATGTACAAGGCATGGCCTGGATATTCTCTCCGAGCATCGCCAGATCACCGTGAATTTCTCCTTCCTCCCTCCTGCTTCTCCCAATTATCGTCCCCCCGGATGGATTGTGTCTAGCTTCGCCTCCTATAGCATGCTTTGCTGTATTTCTCTTCGACACACTCGCACCTGATGCCACCAATCCGGGCAGCTTGCTTATCAAAGTAAACAAACCACTTTTAGCCGACGAGAATCACGCTGTGCAACCCCCCCGAGGGAAAACATAACGAGGCCGAGATCCCACGACATCCCAAACACCGCCGGCAGCTGGTTTTATCCAATAGCCCTGCCCCTACGCTCTTTACATCTATATCCACCACATCTCAAGGCGATACTTGAGCCCGCACAACTACCATGGACACCAGCTATCTTGCCCAGCAGGTCAACGCCAGCATAGGCCAGCTGCACGGCCTATTCGACGAGATTGGCGTACCGAACCATGAGCGCGAGGCTCGCGAAGAAGAGGTATGTACTGCGACTCGAGTATTCGTCCTCATTGGCGCACGAATCTAACTTGCGAAATCGCACAGCTCTTTGAGGCTCTCTCGGAAGCACTGAACAGCCAAGTACGGCTGGTGACGGCTGAGAAGAAGGAGATGGTCGACGAGGCCAAGAAGATCATCACAATCATTCGTCAGATGGAAGCCTCACTAGATGACACCAAGCACCGCAGAGAAAAGGACGAAGACGACTTCGCCATCACATACCCCCTCAACCGCTGCCTACAAACCCTCAAAGAGAAACATATCCAGATTAGCAGACTTCACAAAGAGCGCTTCGAGCAAGTCAGAAGTATGTTGTGCCACACCACCTCGAGAGCTGTTTCCCCCCTTCATGTCGCGTTTACTGACTTCCTGCAGAGCTTGTTGAAGCATTAGAGTCATACTCGTCGCATCTGGAGCCTACATTTGTACAGCTCGCACTACCTCCCACAGGCCACAACCAGTCAATCCCCACCAACTTCGACCTCTCACCCACCTATGTAGACAAGCTCGATGGTGAATTCACCCGCGTGTATGAGGAGTATACGCGTCGTATTGCCACCGTCCAGACATTGTCAAACGACGTCATCCAGCTTTGGGCTGAGTTGGGCATTCCCCAAGCGCAGCAGGATGGCGCCATCGTCAAGTACTACAGAGATGCGCCAGAGCAGCTGGGTCTCCACCAGGAGGACCTGGATCGCCTCCGCACCAAGCGTGACCGGCTCTTCGAGGAGAAGAAGTCTCGTGAGAAGAGGCTCCGGGATCTGAAGGTTGCTGTTGAAGCCCTCTGGGTGAAGTTGGAGGTGGACCCGGCAGAGACCAAAGCCTTTATTAATCAGAACCGCGGATGCGGTGTTCGCCAGATCAACGAGTTTGAGGACGAGCTTGCACGTCTCAATGAACTGAAGCGCCAGAATCTCCACTTGTTCGTCGAGGACTCTCGGGTCAAGCTCCAGGAGCTTTGGGATTCGCTCTACTTCTCTGAGGATGAAATGCTTGAGTTCACTCCCGCCTTTTCAGATGTATATAGTGATGCCCTCCTTGAAGCCCATGAGCGAGAGGTTGCAAGGCTTGAGGCACTCAAAGAGCAGCGTGGACCTACACTTGCTCTGATTGATCGCCACAAGGAGTTGATCAGGGAGCGCGATGACCTAGCCACTTCCAGCCAGGATGCCTCTCGACTCATGATGCGCGGCCAGAAGGGAGAGAAGCGCGACCCAGGAAAGCTTCTCCGCGAAGAGAAGATGCGCAAGCGAATTGCAAAGGAGCTCCCCAAGATCACCGCCGAATTGCGCAAAGTTCTGAGCAGATGGGAGGATGAGTACGGACGCCCTTTCTTGGTTTTTGGTGAACGATATCTGGACGAGATTGAGGCGGCTGATTCGAAGAGGTCGGCTCCTGCCGCCCGTTCCAAGACACCAGCAGGTCATCCCTCATCGGCAGTCAAGGCTGTTCCCAAGTCGGTCCCCAGCAGAGCGCCCAGCACCAGGTCAATTCCCCCTCGTTCCATGACCAAGACACCAACTGCCACTGGAGGCGGCGGTGGAACGTTCAGAAAAACGCCAGCAAAGGAGCCAGCAAAGGAGCCTAGTGGAAAGGGAAGCCCGTCGAGAATCCCCGCCCGCGTCCCCCTATCTAATTTGAAGCATGGAAACAATTCGCCCGAGAGACCCAGGCCAGAGTCGAGGGCCGATGGTCTTCGCAGCGCCGCTCCGATGAGAGCACCACCGCCAAAGATGAGAGATCTTAGGGGCGTGCCCGAGCTCGAGACACCGGTCAACCCTTACAAGTCAGCTGGTTTGAATGGCAGCATCGTGCGGCCTATTGAGCCTGAGGATGTGTATGATGATCGCCCACAGACATCAAGGGGTGGGCGTTCCACCTCTAATCAGTCCCAGTCTACTACATTCTCTCACAGTACCAACCAGTCGCACAGCACACAACCAAGCAGCTACTACGAGGACCAGTATGATGATTACGACGATCGTTACGCAACCGTCCGTGGAAATGCGTACCCTATGGCACCGCCTCCCCGACAAGTGTCCAATAATTCACAGTCGTCTGTGAATATCTCAGGCTCCGAGAATTGGGAGACATACGACGACAACAGTGAGCCGGAGCCGGACGCCTCGGATGCCTACTATGCCAAGTTAAGGGCCGCCAGGGGGAAGCGCGTGGAGACTGAGCAGGGTGGTCGATTAACGAGCAGCCAGTCCAAGCGGATACGAGGCATGCCCCCCTCGCATGCGTACAACAACGCGCCCGTCATGATTGACCAGGACGGCAACCGTATCATCTCGGGCAGCGACTGGACCGATGAGGACGCCTACTAGTTCTCAACCTGTGCAGCATGATTAATGAGACACACTAGTTCCGAGTTGATGCAGATTATTCTTTATGATCATGGCGCAGCTGATACTTCCCCTTGCTGGAGGAGGTTCACGACGAGACATTGATGCTGGACACGATACTTGTCAGTTTGTTGACCTCTTTTCGCAATAAGCTTTGCAGTTGGTTCTCATCACAGAACCCTTCGTTTATTATTTCATGCTCTTACATACGATCGGGACCAAACGCCCTCCCATCGGATTCGCTTCGTCTCGTTCTTTCTTTCCTCTGATTCTAGTTGTGCATATTTGGAAGAGAAGACTTATTTATCTCTTTTTGAAAACCATCGCAGGTCCCCTGCAAAGGGGGCTTTTTCTTGCGATGTACAGTACGTTTACAAAGGAACCTCCTTTGTATTTTCCTTACATTGTTTTTTGGGCTGAGTCTTGCCCTTCAGCCTGGAGGAGTAGCAAAGAGTACAGATGGATGCAAGAAGCTTACTTCCGCTGGCTCTAGCTAAATATTTTTACCAGGGTAATATCGTGGACACGCCGAGGGGTGTTGAGGGAGGGACTACGGGTAAAGGGTTAAGGCGCAAAGCAGTGTGGCTGTTGGAATTGGTTTTTGTCTTTGGTCCTGGCGTTTGTTGGATTGATTGATTGCACATCTTGCTCCCGATATAAGGGCTTTCCGTATTGTGTTTGGTAGAGAGGCTTGAATACACAATTTTCGTCTACTCAAAATGAAGAGGACTCTTGGTGCCGATGTTTGTGAGATGGGCCGCCAGGATGAAGCTCATGCAAGATATTATCATGCATGGAGATGTCCAACCGTGAAATGGCCCTGTGATTTCTCCCACATTCCGCGGTCTAGGGCGTCTGAGAGATCCATGACATGGCTAACCATGTCTCTAGTCATCCTCGGATCCCGAACACGAGCGTGCACATGTACATGATGGTGCCGTCGATAATCAGCCACACAACTGGCAGCATTCTTCGAGCCAGGCGCCACTTGGTGATGAGCCGCTAACCAGTAGCGGCCGATAGGTGCCAGACAAGTGCCACGCGGAGAGCTGAACCCCTGACGACAGCGCCAGTTAGGCGCTATGGAGCTGTAATTTAATTGACTCTCTGGCCTCTGTACCCGGTACATTCTGGCGCAACGGCTGCCAAGGGACTCAGCGCAGCTGGTGGGGAGCCAGGAAGCGTACCCGAGACTTCCATTTTGACTTGCTGCGGGCCTTGGAGATCGATCAGTCAGCTCCATCAGAAACATGTCGCACAGCTGAGCGGCAGGCAGCACATGGGCGGGCAACCTCGTTTTCGTCTTGTCTCGTCTCAGCTCTATCCCCTCACCAGACCTCGACCGATCAGCCTTTTCCGAGGGGTAGCATGAGCGAGTGACCTACGCCCCGAGCCCAGCCTCGCTCGTCCGTTCCCTTTTGAGTCCACCGGCACCGCCTGGCTGGTCCTTAATGTAGCCGCTCGCTCGTTTAGAACCCCTGATCCACCGACCGCCGGTTGCTGCGGGATCCTTGTTTGTTTCAGCGGCTGGGTCCTCCTGTTGGCCTTGTTTGATATCGCTTGCAAAGCATATCTACCAACACTCTCTTCAACCAAAGTTCTCCCCCCGACCGAACCGAATCGAACCGCTCTCACACCCCCCCTTTATCTAATGTCTCCTCGTCGTTCTTCCTACGCTTCGTTCCGGTGATGAGTTACGGCGCGCCCCATGCCTCCGGCGGCGGCGCATCCTCAGATCCGGCTGCAGCCCTCCGCGGCGCTTCCCTGGCCTTCAGCAAGAAGAAGCCGCCCGCGCCGCCGCCCCAGTCGAAGGGCAGCAATGGCGCCCTCGCCGCCGCCACACTGAGCTCCCAGAGCACGGGCGGGAGCGTGAACGGCCTTCCGGACATGGATGCGGCCGCGGCGAGGAGCATCGTCGCTGGGAGGATGCAGCAGCTGGCCGCGGCCTCGGGCCAGCAGCACCAGCACCAGCACCAGCAGTACGGGAGCCATCTCCAGACGCCGCCGAGGGTCGATCCGAAGAGCACGAGTTTCATCGCTGCCACGCTGGCCGCGAGCCGCAATGGGAGTCCGAGCCCCCCGAAGCCGACGGCGGCATCCCCGGCACCTAGGAGGAAGGCCAGCGTGGGCGCCATGAGCTCGGTGAGCTCTGCTGATGTGGCTGTGGATTCGGAGCCTATACCCCCGACGGGATCCTTGATATCGATATTTGAAGGTGGACGGGGAGGTGGTGGTGGGGATCCTGTCAAGAAGACCCCGGTGCGTGGGAAGCGCTCGGTGGATGAGACTGTGGCTTTTAGGAGAGAACCGCTGGATGAAGGTGTGGCTTCGAGGGCGGCGGAGAAGCGGCCGCTCAAGACGGAACCCAAGAACCAGGCCACTCCTCCACGGCTCAACCATCTGATGGCCCAGGATAGGACCGATACGAGGGAGCCAGATCTCGAGACGAGCCCATCTACTACACGACAGAGGCAACGGGCTTCACAGACTGTCGGTGCTGTTGAACTGAGCAGGCCAGAGGTGAAACCAAGTCGTTCTCCTCCGCGATCGAAAAACCTTGTCTCTCAGAATACTAGTGATGGGAAGAGACCTGAAGTGGAGGAGAGGCGTTCTTCGCCCACGTATACTTCGCCTGTGCAGACAGCAGTTCCTCGAATCACCAACAAGTACAATTCACCACAGACGAGCAATCCGCCGCAGTTCAGCCCTCTGACGCCGCCGCCGCAGTCAGCTGGGATCAATCCACTCCAGCCAGGGGCTGTGAAGCCTCCACCGAAGCCCAAGAGAGCTCCAACACAGACTACGAGGCCACCAACACCACCAGAATCTCGGACCTCTGCCCCTCCTCCCAAGCCAAAACCGTCGGTTGAAAAACTAGCCGCCGGAGTCTCATCTAAGCAACGACCAGGTCAGGCGGTGCCTCTTGGCGAGGACACTGCCCCAGTGTCTAAGCCAGTTGCGAAATCTTCGGCTCCCCCAACACCGCCAAAACCAAGAAAACCTCAATCTTCAAGTAATTTGAAGCAAGATCAGGCGCTCGAAGGCCGAACAAGACCCGTTCCCAGCAAGTCCAAAGGGGATCGCGGCCAGGCACCTGCACCACCGAAGCCCCGGGGAAGCTCCAAGCCGTTAGCCAAGGTTTCTTCAAATCGTGATACAGACAGCCCGGAGCCGGTTGGGCTGCACCGTACAAAAACAACTGATACCATGGATTCAGCAAACGATGTATTCGTCTCCGCCCCAACCTCGCCTGACCTTGTCAAATCTGCCCCGGCCTTCCCACCCCGCCATCGGAAAACGGCGAGCGGGCCACCATCACCAACTAGAGATGTGCAGCGGCAACGCTCAGCTACCGCGTCCTCGACCAACAAGAACCAGGCACTGGATTCCTTAGCGAGCGCTATTATGGCTGGGTCTTTGGCCGCTGCTCGCTTAACGCCCCATAGCACCGGGACCTCCTTGCCCCCTCCCGTAACGCCGATACGGCAGAAGTCGCCGCGCCTTCGCCAGACGCTTCGAGGGCCTGTCGACTCATCTGATGACGAGGAGGATCGACATAAAAAGAATCACCGGCCCAAGCTGCGAAGCGGGAAGCACGCCCATCATGAGGGCTCCCGCAGGAGATGGCGAGATGAGGTCACACCCAGGGAGCGCAAGCGTTACGAAGCCGTGTGGGCGTCCAACCGTGGCATCCACCTGCCCCATGCCGCCTCGCCCTCGGCGTCGAGCCTTAGCAGTAGCGGCAGGGATAACCTCAAGGACTTTTCACACTCGGTGGCCAACGTCGTTGTGAGGGAGGTCTGGAAGCGATCGCGACTCCCCGAGGATGAGCTGATCGAGGTGTGGGATCTCGTCGACCGTGATAAGAGAGGCGTGCTGAGCAGGCAGGAGTTTGTGGTTGGGATGTGGCTGATAGACCAGCGCCTCAAGGGGAGGAAAATCCCAACCAAGGTCAGCGAGAGTGTGTGGGGGAGTGCCAGTGGGAATGGGTTGATGGTCATCAAGCCAAAGGCGAAATAATGAAGCCTTTTTTCATTTTCACGTATTAGATACCCCGAAGAAAACAACATTTTGTAATTGGAGAGGAGGATCTCGGGTAACGCCGTCCATAGCGGCATGTATAGATAGATATACACATAACAGATAGCCATGCTGTTCTAGCGTTCGAGCCATATGATGAAAAGTCTTGCGATGGCTGCTTTAGAATCATCCCACAGGGAGACCTTTCTTTTTTCCAAGTTCAAATCTTCAAAAATCAATGACGTCTAGGTATCCGAAGCCTTTCTAATAGCTTTTCTATGAGCTCTCACGCCTTCTGTCCTTCTATAGCTTCTCACCATTAACCAGCTTCTCACCCTTGACCAACATGGCGATCGACGACCCTTCCCGAACCCGAAACAGATCAGCATTACACGCCGCCTGAACAGCCCGGATGGCGATGGAGTGGATGCTGAGCGAGATGAACTCCCCCTCGTCCGCCTCGAAGATCTCCTCGAGCGCCTTCTGCTTCCTGGCGGTGTGCTCCTCGTCCGTCTCCGGCCTGCCCAGCGCCCTCATCTGGTCCTCCTCGGGGAAGCCCTCCCGCTCGACGGCGTAGCCCCTGGGACCCCATTCGGCCTCGACCCAGGAGCGCGGGCGGCGCTTGTCGCAGGTGTGCATGGTGTACCGCTCCCGGAGCGCCTCCTTGACGGTGGCGCGGAAGGGGGGGCGGAGGGGCGCGAAGGCGAGCTCGGTGGTCTGCAGGCACCGGGCCATGGGGCTCGTGTAGAAGGACTGCGGGTAGGGGGCGTTGTCCGCCGTGGTGAGGGTCTCCCACAGCTTGCTCAGCTCCCTGGCCTGCTGCTCGCCGGCGGGGGTGAGGAAGGAGTCGAACCAAGTGTTCACGCCGTCGCCGTCCTTGAGCGCCCAGTTGTCCTGAGAGGGGGGGAGGTTGGTTTCAGTCAACAAACACACAAGTTTCCGGGAAAACACATTTGATTACGCTACGAGTAATAACAGAGGGAGAGGATTTCTAACATACTTCCCACTCCCGGGTGCCGACCTCGGTGTGCTTCTGGTTGTGGTAGCCCAGCCCGTGGCGGGTGAGGTAGAGCACCTTGTAGCGCACGCCGTCCGGGGCCTGCTCGTTGAGCGACCTCACGTAGGCGGCGAGGCGAGTCCAGTCCCTCTGGTCGGCGGCCGCCGGGTCGTCGGTCGGGTACGCGCGGCGCAGGAGGGCGAGGCGAGGCTGCGTGGCCACCTTGTTGAACTTGAAGGTGTAGAGGCCGTCGTACGAGGCGGCGCCGTAGTTCTCGAAGATGTCCGGGAGGGCCTCGAAGGTCCACGCGGTGCCTGGGGCTACTGCTGCCATTGTAGATTGGATCGTCCACTTATGGTGCGCTGTGTTTGGTGTTGACGAGGCGGGTTTTTTAGGTGAGTTGATGGCTTGGATATTGAAGTCTGGCGGTGACTGAAAAGCCTCTAAGCAAGTGTGTTTTGAGTCATTGCTATATAACTAACTAGAATACCGGACCATGAGAGATAAAAAATTGTGATATCATGTGAGTATGTAGGTGGACAGGACAGGGCCCAGAGGCGCATTTGAATGATTTCAACCGGACTGTACATGTATAATGAGAATAAAGTATAAAATATGTAGATAAGGAACAGTGAGGTTGCTGTCTGTTTAATGAAGCTTGGGTATCAACATCCACATTCAGTATAGGGTAGCTGACAGGTGTGTTGTTGAAGCTCACGGAGTAAACGACAAGCCCAGCCTTTTCTCTTGTGCTCTCTCAACTAGAAAACAATAGTGTACTCAAAATCCATCACGTACCGTGGCCTCCTTAATATAGCGTCCAAGATCTGCCATTGTTCTAAAGAAATTGTTGTTAAAATAATTGACAGTTCTGGAAGTGAGGACTTTCCAGACGCCTTCAGCCTCGATCCGTCTATCCCCTCTAATTGAAAGATCTCGACACCCCGAGTTGCCGTTGCTGTCAGAAGTTTGGACCAGGGTTGGTCCGCTATATGATGCTATGCAGTCAAGCAACAGCTCAAGTTTTCAGTTGCCACACCGTTGTGACCCATTAACAGAAGTCGACAGATAGCCCATAAGCAAGAAATGGAGATCAAGATGATCTCTAGAGTTAGGGATGTCTGGTAGCTTGCTAATTCATACAATAACCTGCAAATCCGATCGGTTTTATCTTAGTAGGCTCGATGAGCCCTACATTAAGGACCCAAAACGTTGCCTCGTAGACGGTCAACGTGCGGGCGCTTGAAAGCTCAGCTCGATTGGATCCGGTATTCGTTTATCCCATACCAGAGCAATCTTCAAGGAAGCCCCGATTCAGGTGAATTAGAAAGTTGAACGAATGGCTCAAGTTCTGTAAAGAGCATCACGAGTGCTAGTTCACCTTCCCGGATTTCTTTCCATCTCGGGGTGTTCATTCGGAGACAACAATGATTCCATCAGTCTTGTTCAGCTCAGAGATATCACTGAAAACTCGCGGACCTGGCTCAGTTCTGGGGATCGTCTAGCCGCCCTGCGAAACTACCAAGGCCACAGTGTATACCGTAATAGAACTCTTACCCTGGCTACAGCTTCATCGTATAGATAATGGTTGCTACCGGTAGACCGACCGGATTCATATGTCTGACTAAATGAACATCGAGGCGAACAGCAGCCACAGCAAGACCGGGAGACTGCTGTTTCAATTGAGCTGCTGATTGATCGATGCGGCAAACCGATCAGTCCGATGAGCGAAAAGTCGCCGGGCTGAGTTTGACTCGCGCGCGGCACAAACCTGAAGCTGCTCCATGTCAGGCAGCATGACTAATAACCGCGCGCGGCAAAGACTAATCAAGCAGCAGCTTTTCCCTTCTGCCTCGCCTCTCACCACCATTAATTCTAAGCGTTGACTCCCATTGGATCGGCCCTGGGCGGTGCCCGTCGTCTGGGGTAGACGGTAACACTAATTCTTCTCGCCGCTGCATGTGGTTCTCGGGTTGCGACGGTCTGATAAATCAGGAATAATTCAAAGTGCCTTATCTGGTCGTATATATAATATGCATGCTGTAACTGCGCTTGTAGCCCATCTCGCCGTTCGCGACAGACACTTACATCCGTGATAAATGAGGAGACTGCGCCCGCAGCCGTCTCACAGTCTGACCCTGGGACGTTCAATACTTCCAGCCCGTCCTCATAACAGTTTTCTCTTACGCCCATTCTCCCACTCCAATCGAACCCAAGTAGCAATGGCCAGTGCCGCTGAACCATCGGCCGACAAGCCTCCCAAGGCCACAGAAGCCGAGAAGCTGCCCCCTCTCTCAGACCATGATTTCAAACAATACAACCGTATGGCAGTGCGGATGGATGCCTTCGTACGTCTCACCTACCATTCCCCAGAATGAAGCAGAATTAAAAAAAATCTAACACCCCCTAGCACAACTACTTCCGCCAATCCTGGACCCTGCTGTGGGACGCCTGCAACAAGAAGAAGCGCCCCCAGGGCATGAGCATGCGCCAGTTCATCGGCGAGGGGCTGAGCTTCGCCGAGCACCTGACGATGCACCACGGCATCGAGGAGCGCCACTTCTTCCCCATGCTCGCCCGCCGCATGCCCGAGTTCCGCGGCAGCCTGCCGGACCAGCACAAGGAGATCCACGCCGGCCTTGACGTCTTCGAGGCCTATCTGCGCGGCTGCCTGTCCGGCGAGCACGAGCTCGAGCTCGGCGTCCTCAGGGAGAAGATGGAGACGTGGGGCGACGTGCTCTGGGCCCATCTCGACGACGAGGTGAAGACGCTGGGGGCGGAGAATATGAGGAAGTACTGGACGCTGGAGGAGATGAGGAGGATGCCGATGTGAAGGGGGGAGAGATAGAAGAAAATAGAATGAAGACATGAGAAACATGGGCGGCTACATATTGGATATACTTGCAATGGATTTTCGTTTCTTTGATGATATTTCTCATTCATTTTATCGAGTTCTTTCAAAACATGAAATTCTCGGGGGCATCTATATACCGTAAAATATATCTACATGAAAAGGGGAAACCTGTGAGAATGCCTGGCTAAAGACCTTTGCTTCTGTGTATCGTATATGATGTATAATGCTTTGCTGCTCAGTCGCGTCTCTTCGTCGTGTAGGCAGAAAGTGCAAGTGTATTCGCTGGCTTGTAACAACACACTCAAACAATAAGTTCCGATGATTCTTCTTCCCCCCTTTACGACCATTATAGTCATCCGCAAAACTCTCTGTTTCGGCCATCTCTCTAATGATGCCGGGCTTGCTTCAATACCCAGCAGCAGCCCGAGTGAGCCCTCCTTGTCTCACGGTCGATGGCGACCCCAACGCCCAACGAGCGACGTGATGCCTGCCTATGCGTTATCCGCCCAAAGCTCCCGCATTTGCGAGATAGCAGGATACAGACCCAGCGCGGAGATGCCCAGCTCGTTCAGCGGGCCGTTCTCCACGCTGAAATGGTACGTCATCGGCGCCCACGACAAGTTCCTCGTGAAGTCCTTCCTCCAGTCCCTCCTCCACTCGGCATCCTTGGCCGTCAGCTCCCCACCACCTGTCTTGGCCGCGCGGCGCTGGCGCACGATCAGCAGCCTCGCCAGCTCCATGAAGGTGTACGCCGCCCACGACCGCACGCTCAGCCGGCCCAGCCTGCCCTGCGTGGCCGGCGACACGCCGAGGATCTTCTTGGACGCGAGGTAGACGATGTTCTCGTTCAGCTGGAACGACACGAGGGCGAGGATCTGCGCGGCGGCCCAGAAGGTGTCGAAGCGGGCCTGCGCCCTCGTGCGGCCGTCCCCATTCCCCTCGCCCTCCTTGGCGGGCGGCGCCAGGGCGGACTTGACGAGGTTCTTGCTGGCAAAGTAGAGCCCCAGGAGGCCCCAGAGGCGGCCAAAGGTGCGGATCTCGCTCAGGGTGGCGGCGAGGGCCTTGAGGCGGGCGGAGAGCTGGAGGGCGATGGCGGCGGCCGGGGAGACGAGGGGCGCCGAGTCGAAGGTGACGGTGGTGGAGGGGGGCAGCTTGACGGCGAGGGCGATGAGGTTCTGGGCCGCGTGGCGGAGGGCGGAGCGGCTGATGTCCTCGAGGGCGGCACCCGCGAAGCGCGAGGCGTAGCAGATGAAGAAGAGGACCGTGTCGGCGCCGCTGCGGGTCTGGAGGCAGCGGTGGAGGCGGGCGAGGAACGAGTCGACGGCGTAGGGGCCGGCGGTCAGGAGGGAGGCGAGGGAAGGGGGCGGTCGGGTGGATTTGGGCGCGGACGAGTCGATTGGTTTGCCGGATGGCAGTGAGGCAATGGACGATGCCGATGTCGCTTCCGTGGCGACCACCGTGGTCGTCGCTGACGTCGTGGAGGCCATTGTGGACTTGTGCCCTTGGTTTTGGATTGATCCTCTCCAGCCGCCTACCAGTACAGTGACCCTTGGAAATGAGAGAAAAGGAAAGACTGGCGTTGGTGATGGTGGTTGTTGAGGATGCGAGATTAAAGTCGAGGCGCTGATCGACCAGAAGTTAGATAATGGAATAGGTCGAATCTGATAAGTGGATAATTAGCATGTGTGAAGAGGCAATGACAAGAATAGCACGCATATGATGTGCTCGCTCAGATGACTGCACCAAAACCACGCAGACACCACATACAGAACCGTTGGAGAGAAAACCAGTCTAGACCAGGCTTCCCCAGACTTAAGTAAACAAGCAGAGCTAGCACCAGCGTACACGCCGCGGATGATGCGGTCCGCACATCAAACAGCAAATCCCCGCCGAGGGAGATTGAAGCTCTGGCCTAGTTTTGCTGTACCTCGGCTTGATCGCCATCAGCCACGGTTGGCGGTTAGGCCTCAGCCATTCTCCAACAGCTATCGTACGACCTCTGACACAGCTGTATCATGTGTTTCATAGTAATCAAGAATTTCTTACGAAGGACCAATTCTTGGTGTATTATTCCACCGTTCCATAGATCCAATCGATGTAATTCGTAGTGATAATCGAATCCCTGCGGTTCATTGAACTACCCTGGACTTCTCCCAGCAAGCCTCGGCCCGTCGGCCTGGAACGTGAATGAACATGCCCTCATCTCACTCTGCTACGCATGTCCATCAATGGCCTTGGGCCGGTAAAGCTCCTCGAGGTACGCCTCCTCCTCCGGCGAGAGAACCTTGCCCGTCGCCCCAATGGCCTGCTCCAAGCGCTCCACGCTGCTGAACCCGATAATCGGGCTCGACACCCGCTTGTTCACCCACGCCAGCGCCACATGAGCCATCGGCCAGCCGCGCTTCTCCGAGACCTCCAGCACCCTCGCGACGATCCTCTGGTCCTCCTCCGTCTGCCCAACCCGCCCCTCCTTCTCCCCAGCGCTCCTCGCCGTCGACCGAAAGTCGGCCGGCCTGCGCGCCAGGTGGCCCCTGCACAGCGGCGCCCACGGGATCAGGCCGACGCCCGTGTCGTCGCAGAAGCGGTTCATCTCCCGCTCCTCCTCGCGGTACAGCAGGCTGTACTGGTTCTGCATGCTGACGAACTTGGTCCAGCCGTTGCGCTCCGCGACGAACTGCATGCGCGCGAACTGCGTCGCCCACATGCTGCTGGCGCCGATGTACCGCACCTTGCCCGACTGCACCAGGTCGTGCAGCGCCCTCATCGTCTCCTCGATGGGCGTGGAGCGGTCGAAGCGGTGGATCTGGAATAGGTCGATGTACGGCGTGTCCAGCCGCCGGAGCGACGCCTCCACCTGGTTGAAGAGGGCCGCGCGCGAGAGGCCGAAGTTGTTCTGGTAGTCCTTGGAGGCCTCGACGGCCGCGCGCTGCTCATAGTGGCGGGTGCCTGAAGGCGGGGGGGATGTCTAGTTAGGATTTGTGTCTTGATGCTTGGGCTGTAAGAGGAGTGGAAGAGAGCTGGGGACCTACCGGGATCTTCACCCACTGCGAAGAAGCCTTTGGTGAGAATCACGACCTTGTGGCGGGGGATGTTGTACTTCTTGAGAGCCTTGCCCACAATCACTTCGGAGGCACCGTTGCAGTAAACATTGGCGGTGTCCCAGGTGTTCAGTCCGCGGTCATACGCAGCCTTGAGAAGTGGTAGGGCCTGTGATGTCGCATCGCCTGTCAGTATAAGAGGAACTAGCAAGAAGGGGAAGCCCAAAACGAACCTCTTCTTCTTCAATGTTCCAAGGGAGCACTCTCTTGTCTCCCAAACTCATACAGCCAAAGATGGGAACAGACACTCGTAGACCTGAATTCCCCAGCTGGCGGTACTCGACTTTGGTGTCCTCGAGCGACTGCTTGAGGTGGGTGGGGAGATCTTGAGAAGCCATTGTGTATATCTGATGTAGTGTTACGCCCAAAAGATAATGCCGTGGTAAAGAGAACCCACGACGGAGGAACCAGAAATGAATTGATCGGATACACTTGTTTTATACCCATCTACCGCGCCAGAACCAGTAAGTAACACCCATATGCAAGAGGGAAGAGCGGGGTCTACACATTTCAGGCGCTGGTGAGGGGCATCGAGCAGCACGCAATCAAATCAAAACCAAAAGCATAGCGGCGGGGTTAGAGGGATCTTTATCTACCTATCTCCGTATTGTCAATTCCTCATCGTCAACATTTCCCATAGCCGATGAGGATAAAGCAGATACGGATGATGGGCTCCGGAAGGCCGAGGTAATAGCTATCCTCACCGTTCGACAGCAGAAAAAGAGAAGGCACAGTACCAACTGATCCAGCATCAATAAGGAGATTCAATGTATTCCTGGCAGCAAGGTATTGGCATTCTCTGGATAAGTTACACTTGCAGTGATAGAAGTTGTATTACATTTGATAGCTCCAAGCCTCGCTTTACCTACTAATGCTCACAGAAATTCCATTCTACGTTGATGCTCTGGTTCGTGTCCTCCTGTAGTACTGACCTTTCGCTCATCAGTTCCTTGCGAATCTGCTTCGCCTTATCTTCCGTGATGGGGAAGTCTACATGATCTGCTACCAGGGCTTTCAGCTCTGGAGGCAAACGTCCCCCACGTGTATGAATTTGTGAGGCTTCAGTCCACCAGTGCTTCTGCTGCGGAGGCACGCTAGAAGTAGAGAGGACGGGGATGACCGGGTCGACAAGAAACAGGGCGAGGATCTTGCGGTGACCCTTTCGTGAAGGATCGGCAAGTTGAAAAGACGAGACCCGGTGTTGATAAATGTTGGGGAAGAACAGAGACCGCCCAGGGCGCGTAGGGACCGCGCCAACATTCTGTAAGGTGCTCCCTTGGGGATCAATAGAAAACGTCCGCTCGATGAAGTGATCGTCGTTCTGTGCGTAGTCAAGATTACAGACCATTTCCTCACGATCGGCACGAGTGCGGAAGGCCAAGTTACAATCTGTGATATTGTCACTGTCATAATAGAATAGAGCCGTTGCGCAGATGTGTTCGTTGAGTTGGCCCTCAACGTGCCAGGTGCCACCCTCGTACTTTGGGTTGTCTGGGTTCAAGTGAATATTGGCGAGTTTGACGATAACTTGGATGCGGGACGTGCTGTTGAAGAAGCCCCTTGTCTTGACATGGTCTGCCGTGAGTCGAACAGTGCCGTCTTTTGTTGGATCAACATCGGGGATTTCCGGTTGGTGCGTGCGTTCAAACCATTCCAGATCTAATCGACCTCTCACAGATTCTTTATACCCAGCTTCCCATTCTTCCTCTTCATCACGTTCTGGCTCTCCCTCATTGAGAGGTCGAGTGGACGCTCTGCACTCATACCGTTCTTTGCAAAGGTCCTCAGTGGTGCACATGGGTCCGACTTTGGAAGTCGTGAGACGCTGAGTATCAAACTCTGCTGGCCATCGGTATACAATGTCCCATGCGGGAAGAGCTTTCTCAATGAAGCGCTCGATGACAGGGTAGAGATCAGCATGATGAATCGGATGCAAGTTGTTGATATAGCTGGCGATCTTCACTGCACCGTCCGTCGTGATGTCGACATCGCAGGGCAACCACTGGAATTTGTTCGATAGAGAGGGTAGTTTGGGCTCAGTATATGACCCGGGTCGACCGTAGACCTCGAGAGGGTGTGGTTTTGGCAGGGTGGTTCCCGTGCCGCAGTGCTCAAGAGCATCGGAGATGCCAATGCTCTTGTCAACAAGTACCCGAGTCAAGCCGTAAACCAAGGGATAGAGTGACGGGTGAACCAAATCGAGAACCTTGTTGTCACTGCCTGGGTGCCAGTCCTTTTCATCCTCTGGTACCTCCTCAAGGGATCTGACAGTATCTTTCAACGATTGTGCAAGTTCCGCAGATATTAGGCTATCAGATTTAATCGCACAAGCCGAGTAGTCCATGATGGGAATCAGACCGGTTTTCTCATATAAAGCTGCCTTTGTGCGTAGTTCAGTAATGCACTGGGAGAAATCCCCATGGATATGTTAGTAAGCTATGCTGGAAGATGTGTATCACCAATATGTGCCGGAATAGTTCGAATAAATACTCACCAAGTCCACCATATTGGGTGTGAAGTCTGCGTGCTCTAGGTATTGGCCCCAGTCCATTCCCAAGGCCTCCGTCTTCCACTTTGTTGTTATTTCAGAATCAAAAACTTTGACCCACCACTCGGGCTTATTGGTCAATGTTTCCATTAGCTCGAGCATACATGCTTCCCGAATTAACAACGTATTCGCTTTCCAGTCAAGATCCTTGTCTCCCACGAGAACGGGGAACCGCTCCGCAGTATCTGGGAGACCCCTCAGTGGCAGACCGAAGCCGGGAACTTTCAAATCGCCCCCACCAAGGCGCTATCGAGGGTCAGTTTTGCCTCCTCTTAGAATCAAGTATGATTATTGGATGTGCTCAATCATGGTGAGTCGATTACGAACCAGATGCCTATCAGATGCCAGTCGGACAATTGCTTCTTCCAGCAGTACCCTGGTGTAACCACCCGTGATTGGCACTGCCTTATTCAAGTTTTCTCTGATCCAAACCTCGGTGTCCCGTATCGAGGGCATCGCGGACTGAGTTGTCACCCATTCCTTCAACCTGTCTATTTCCTCATCGGTGAGTGGTTCACTTGATGCATCTGTCTTGTCGTCAACCTTTGAAAATGCGCCAGCCGACAGCTGGTTGAAGTATTCCAACCACGAGGACATGGTTACAGACGGGTGGTGAGCAGCCTGCCTAATTCTTTTCGGTAGTGGTTGAGTGATGAAATAGTGAGAGTTGAGGAATCCACTGTCGATTCCCGTCGGGTCTTCTCTAACTACTCCGTCTTCGCTAATGAGGAAAGAACTAGGGGGTTGAACTAAGGTAAGTGCTAATAAGCCAAGCCTCCAACAAAAAAAGGAAAGTGCCATACTCACATTTCAGCTGAGGCTGTTTCTATCCACTCACCGTCCTAATTTGAATACAGCCGTTTTATCTCCTTGAAGCAGCGTAAGCCACAGCGTGTAACTTACAAGGTATTGATTGGTAGGGGAATCTATGCTAAGAGATACCTTCGTTTCCACCTATTCAGTATGGATATAAAGGTATTGACGATCTGCTAGAAACCCACTTGAAATTCGATGTTCAAGTATCTTTTGAGGCCGAAACTCTACACACATCACACAAGAGGCAAGAAGTATCTATAACCATGTATTCCATTCATCCTAGAGACATTGGCGAGAGCGCCTTGTGCGTCCTTGGGCCATTTTTCAGTTTCATTAAAGCAAACCATATCATGCAACCACATCAAAGGAATATATTTAGACGCCTCCCCCATTTCATGCATTCTAACCCCTGACAGCAGCTCCCAGCGCACCCCCCGTAAATTGTGTGCCGCCTGCTTGCCTTTGGGTGTTGCCACCTGTGCGAGCTCCGCCTCTGCCGGGTCGTTGACCCGATCTTTGGCCTCCCCGTCCACGGCCGCCGCCGCGCTCAAATGCGTTCGTTGAGCCCTGTGTCTTCTGTTCCAGTGTGCGCTCATTGGTCTCGATGAGGGCGCTGGCCTTGTCTGAGAGGGTGAGGGCGAGGGATTGCAGGCGGCTGAGCTCGACTCCCTTGCGGAAGATGAGATTTGACGTGACCTGGTCGAGCGAGGCGGCCAGCTCCTCGTGGCTGATCATCTTGCTCACCACAGCCGAAACCTTGGTGGCATCCAGCTCGAACATGCCGCTGAGAGTCTCAACGGCGAGGGTATCATAGAAGGGGGCGTATGTGAAGAGATACGTCCGTAGACCTTCCTCCTGGATCTGCTTGGAGAGCATGGTCTTGATCTCCTCGGTGTTTGGCATGAGATCCCAGATCTTGATGTTGTGGATGAAAGTGGTGGCCTTCTTCCACTCACCAGCAGCGAGAGCCTTCGACGCCTGCATCACATGGTCACGGGTGTTCTCAGGAGGACCAGTGAAGATCTGCCTCTCGTGGTACTCCAGCATACGACGGTAGGTCTTGCTGATGATGCGCTTCTTGATGTCGGGGGAAGAGCCGGTCTGGGCAAGCAGGGGGATCTCAAGAAGCATGCTGCAGGTGAGGTAGACGCACTCCAGCAGCTCCAAGTTGATGTGCATGTGGAAAGGCAGTTGTCTCTGCTTCTCCAGGCGTTCCTGTTCAGGCGATACCTGGTTGAAGCGCTGCATCATCACACCCTGAGCCAACAACTCCTTCTGGCGACCGCTGCCACAGATCTCCTGCAGAGTGTTCTGAGCGTCGTAGACCAGGCCCTTGCGGAAAGCACAGAGACCAATCTGGACTAGCGTACGGTTGTACAGAATCTGGGTTTGAACATCGAAGTTGGGGATGTTCTCTTGAAGATGCGACATCAGCATCATGTCGCGAGACTTGTAGTAGTCACTGTGAAGAGCGAGGAAGTAGACATGGCACAGCATAGCTCTGGCACGGATAATGCCGTCGCTGTTGGTGTACAGGTAATTGCAGAGAATGTTGACCAGGTTGGCGGCATCGCTGGCCTCGCTGCGGGGAGTAATGGCCGACTCGGCCTTGTCAGTGACGGCATTCCACAGGTTCTCCTCAAAGGTCTTGATAACTTGGGCAGGCTATCGAAATCCAGTCAGTAACAATATTCAAGAAAGGGGGTGGGGATGAAATCTCACCTTGAAGTAGCTGTGTTCCAGTCTTCGCATGATGATGCGGTTGATGCTGTCTTGGGAAATGTCGAGGTCCTTGTCCTTGCGGAGCTGCTCGTAGTATAACTGACCACGGACAATGACATTGTACAAGGCACCCTCATCTTGCAAGCGCTCAACGTACTCTGAAGTGTGGGGGTCAATGGCTTGAAGAGATCGGTTCAGTTCATCGTCCAGTCTTTCGACATATGAGACGATGCTGCCAGCAACCTTGATGTACTTCTCACCATCCTGCAGAGTAGGGGGCTTGTCGTCATCCTCCCACTCCTCTGCGCTCTCAACAACAATGTACTCTGGGCTCTCCTCGAGCACAGTCAGCAGAGCCAGGAGCTCCTTCTCAGCAGACTTCCAGTGCTCGACGGGGATGGCGCTGGTAATGCTTGAGCCGAGATCGAAGCGTGCCGATACGATGGCGAGCAGAACACGGATCTTCTGGTAGGGGGTGTTGGCGATTTCGAGCAGCTTCCCCATCACAGTAATCTGCTCCAGGCGATCTGTGTTCTTCTTACCACGAGACTCCATAATGCCTCGAAGGTGCTTGAAGATACTCTCGGGGGTGTATGTGAGAGCCTTTCCACCCTTGCCGACGGTAGCAAAGCCATCGTCGTCACCATCCTCGGGAGCCTCGTCGACCTCAATCCTGACAGTCTTCTTGGGCTTGGGGGCAGGAGCCGCCTCCTCCTCAGAAGACTCCATGAATTCATCCTTGTTCGCACGGTAGGAGTCGATCTCGGTCTGGTAGTCCTTGTTGGTCTTCTTGATCTTTTGCTTGACGGCGTTGAGTGCTCGGGCTTGGGTGGCGTTCATCTTCTTGGGGGTGACCTTCTGCTTAGCAAGAGCCTCGTTCATGAAGTCCTCAAGTTCAGAGATAATTCGAATGTAAGGCTTGGGGGTCTTGCCGCCGGGCAGCTTGGTAACCTGGCGGTTGAGCTTGTCATATTCTATCCGTGTGTTAGTCAAAAGTCCCCTTTGCATGAAGATGCGCACCAAATGAGTCACCCCTGAGGGAGAAGGGGGAAAATCGAAAATTCCGTACCACTTGAGATCAAAGTCCAGTCGCCGTTCTTCTGACCGTTCTCGATTTGCTTGATCGATGCCTCGAGTTCGTCCAGGCGCTTGTCCTTGGCACTCTTGACCTTGGCTCGAACTTCCTCATCGCTCTCCTCGCTGTCGGAGTCGGCGCCGCTCTTCAAGAACCTGCCGGCACCAGCCTCAGAGTCATCAGAGTCGTCGCTATCATCTTCGTCGGATTCCATCTCGTCAGAGTCCTCCTCGGAGCCGTCCTGCTGGTTCTGGTCGTCCTCCTCCTCCTCAGTGAGAAGCTCCTCCTCGTCGCTGGAGCTCTCGGACGAGCTGTCATCTCCGCCACGGAAAAATCGAGAAGACATTTTTGCGATTTTTTCGAGTCTTCGGTTTGCGAGGCTGTCGGCTGGTGATCCGTGGACGCTGGTTCCTAGACGTGGGCAAAAACCAGGGCTGCGAAAATTCACAGATGCGCGGGGTTGAGTCAGGGAAAACGTCGAAAATTGGTGAATTTGGTGGGCAAAGTGGGGGCATTCAACTTGGGGCTTTAGCGATAAGGTACATCCCACCATTGGCTGCCCAAGGCTCCAAGGCCAAGGGGCCTTTGCTTATGTCAGCCCCTGCTCCGAGCCGCGCACCGAGGACAAGCGAGCCCGGCTATAACATGCAGTCCCTCGCTGAGGCCGCCTCAGATTTGATGCAACGCCCTCCGATCCCGACAAAAAAAAACAGTCCAGGGTCTATTCCTCTGTTTCCATAATTGTATAATATATCTTTAATTCTTAGAACGTTCCCGCCATGGTGCCCGTGCGTTGCACCAGATCGCCTTCAACGGCTCGACCCTTCATCAACATTGCCATCCGCAGATATTCCTCAACCTTGACGCCAGCTCAAAAATCCTCGCCACCCCTCGACTTTCTTGTCCCACGCTGGGCACCGTCTTCCAACATACGGACGACCGTTCCGCAGTCCTTGAAGCTGGTTGTACGGCATGACTCAAGGCGGGCGTTTGCCACGACGATCCCTAGACCGGCAACAGTTTGCGTTAAAAACCCTATCAAGGATGAGGATGGTAGCGAGATGATGCTTGAAATCACTCCGCGCGCAGCAAAGGTTTGTTCAGAAAACTAATGAAACTACAGTTCAACCGAAACTGACAGAACTAGCGCCTCTCCCAAATCATGACCAAGGACGAAAACCCCAACCTTGCATTACGAATCCAAGTCGAAAGCGGTGGTTGCCATGGATTTCAATACCTCATGAGCCTCATTACTGTCCCGCCCGAGGAACTTCAGAACGATTCTTCCGTCGTTAACGAGGAGGACACGATTTTTCAATTCGTTGCGGATGAGGCAGGCTCTGCACCCACCCCAGAGGGAGCAAGGATCATTCTCGACGAGCCATCCTTAGATCTCCTAAAGGGAAGCAAGGTCGACTTCACACAGGAGCTCATTGGTTCGCAGTTCAAGATCGTTGACAACCCTTATGCGACGAGTAGTTGCGGATGCGGAACCAGTTTTGACATCAAGATGTAGCTGGGAACGGCCCACTACCCTAATTGCTGAATCAGATAGAAAAATATTATACCCAGGCCTCAAGCCCTGCCGCAACTCCGTACCATTCGCCACGCCAAAGGGGACTTGGTGAATCTCGTACACTTTGACTAGCATCTAGATGGCACCATTTATCTACAACATACAACTTGTCACATATCAATTGTTGTCACACATACTGTTATGGGAATCTGAAGTGTCATTCGTCAGGATATCATTTTTTCACATAGCCTTTGTCATATCTGAACGCCGAGCAACCAAGCCAATTTTGAGTGCAGCTAACAGTCCCATTAAATCAACCTAATCTTATCACATCCATTTTAGTTCATCTGGCGGATGAGACCGTTGATAGCCTCCTCGCGGTTGCCAAGGTCACCACCCTCGATGAAGTGCTTGAACTTGCGGGGACGGAAACCACCGGTGGGGTTGCTGAGCTTGAAGGGCCACAGGAAGTTGGAGGCCTGCTTGAAGTTGGGGCCAACAGTGAAGATCTCGTGGACGAGATCCTCGAGACAGACAATGCCGTACTGGCCGAGAGTCTCCTCGACGATGGAGTTGTCGGTAAGGGCAACACGCTGCTTGTTGACCTTTCCGTATCCACGCTTGTAGATGAGCTCCTTGACGGACTTCAGGTTGGGGTAACCGTAGGCGATCCAGGGCTCAACAACCTTAAGCATCTCAGTGGTGGCCTTGGTGGCCTTGATGAAGACACCGTTGTTGATCTGGAGGAGACGGAGGAGCTGGAGGATCTTGCGGGGCTTGGGGGCAATCTTGTTGATACCCTTGATGCGGGTGACGAAAATCAGGCGAGACTCAGCAGGGACGTAGACGGAGTCATCGGCCTTGGCAGCACGGGCAAGGCGGATCTTCTCGCGCTCAGTGTCGCGGTACTCCTTGACGTACTTCTCAGCACGCTTGAAGATGACACCACGCTTCTCCTTGTTGGCCTTTTTTCATTCAGTTAGCAATCAATACAAATATGAGATGCAAAATGAATGTGTTGTGTCAAACGGAATCAGACCCGAAAGAAGGTTAATTGATCAACAGCATTGACAATGTCTAGTTGATGAAATGTGATATGCATCATATAGTATGAGGTAGGAGAATCATAATTGGTCTTGACTTACAGCCTTCTTCTTCTCGATGAGGGCAGTGCGCTCAGCGCGGGCCTTCTCCTGGCTCTTTCTCTTCTTGAGGAGAGTCTCAGGGACCAGGATCTGGTCGTTGGTGGGGATGGAGCTATTATCACAAATCAGTACGTAGTCCGGCATACCAATTGTGGTATGAGTAGTAGAGCGCCGGTGCGAGAACTGCAGCGTTGCCGCATTCTCCGCGTTGGCTAACTCGAGATGAATTTGATCGGTGAGCAGCAATCGCAGGCAAGTTCCCAAGCCAGGCCAATTGCTGTACTCTCATCCGACAAAGCCCCGAACGATGTGTTCAGGAGTTAAGTGAAGGCTTATTGTGGCATTGAGGCAGGTTTTCACCGAGCCCAGAGCCAAAAGCGCAACAATAAATTTCAGAGAGAACAGCTTCCGCAGTTCATCTCCAACACCTCAGACAACGTCTCTCCATTCCCAAACACTGAAGCAGGTATGGCCAATGGAGGGAGAAGCCTGAGAAAGATCGAGCTGGCTAGGCGAGTCTTTCCTCAAGGAGAGGGGGCGACATCGACAACGCAGCGAGAGGACCACGACGATCTGCACATGTTTCTTGAAGCCGGGCAATCGTCCTCATTCGCACCATCAGGAGGGGGTAACATACGTAGCACTCATCTTGTCGGTGACGGCTGGCGTTGATGTCGGTTAGTAATTGACGGCGGCGTGAGGAAGACAAGAGGAAGTTCGTGCACTGGGACCCTTCAGTTTTTTTTCTTCCTCACCTGAGTGGAGCTCCTTCCCTGCACAAGCAATTCTAGGGCAGGGCTTTTTTTTCCCTCTGAAGTGGGCTCGCCCACCACCACACAATTTTCGGTGCAGGTTTTCTGCCACACCCCACCGCCTGAGGGGCCACCCACCTCCACCGCCAAATTTGGCTCAACACCATTATTTCGGTTCGTGAATCGCTTCCTTGAACCAGTCCCAGTCGTCACAAGAATCCCAGACGTCGCCAATCCAACATGCCTCCCAAGAAGGTCGCCCGTGCCCCCGCGGAGAACATCTCCCTCGGCCCCTCCGCCCGCGATGGTACGAAATCCCCCTCTTCACTGACGTCCGTGGGACAATTCTAGATTTCGAATATGGTTGACTGACAAATGAAATTTAGGCGAGCTCGTCTTCGGCGTTGCTCGTATCTTCGCCTCCTTCAACGACACCTTCGTCCACGTCACCGATCTCAGGTTCGTCCACACCCTCACATTCGAAACCAAAGCGAAAATCGACCAGGAGTTTTGTTGCTAATGCGCATATCTACAGTGGTCGCGAAACCATCACCCGTGTCACTGGTGGCATGAAGGTCAAGGCTGACCGTGACGAGTCCTCCCCCTACGCCGCCATGTTGGCTGCCCAGGACGTCGCCACCCGATGCAAGGAGCTCGGCATCAACGCCCTTCACATCAAGATCCGTGCTACTGGCGGTAAGTCGACCTGGCTCACAGCAGAAGATAAGCACATAAGGGAACTCTTTTATCTGACTCTCATGCTTTACAGGTAACGGAACCAAGACCCCCGGCCCCGGTGCCCAGTCTGCTCTCCGTGCTCTGGCCCGTGCCGGCATGAAGATCGGCCGCATTGAGGACGTTACCCCTACTCCCTCCGACTCTACCCGCAGAAAGGGTGGTCGCCGTGGTCGTCGTCTCTAAGCTGCTGGCGCTCAGAGATCGCTGGCTGGAACGGCTCGGGTGGGGAGTATCGGTATCTGGTTTTCTCTTGTGGCGTTGAGAAATACGAGGAGAACGGCATTTTTCGCCTGGTCTCCATTCTACTTTTGCTTCACCGGGTCTCTTTTATTAGTGGGCTAGGGGAAAAGATGCAAACCAAGTAGACAGTTATGAATTCGCCCAAAGTAGGCACCATGAACAAGTACTCCCTGTCAGACAAATTACTCTCGTGAGCAGGAGACAAATGTGATGTAGGCAAGACGATGAGAACATGAAGAACAAAATAAGGTGTTTATGAGAGAGTCAATTCTGGCTGCAAATAAGAAAAAAAGATAGAGCACTCTATGGGATCAGAAAACAAAACATTCAATCCTGTAACTCCTCGCTTTCTAGTCTTCATGTGAACGCCAATCTACCTAGTAAGTAACACTCACGAAAATGTGTTTGACGCACGCCTGTCCTTCCTCTAATTTCCACCCTTTTTCAACGTCCACATTGCTCTCCCATAGCTTCCACGCTGTGATATTTCGGCCACAGACTTTAAAGCGCGTTCGAATTCTTCGTTCTGCTTTTTGCCCTTACAGTACGGGCTGAAGTGATCGACCAGCATCTTGGTCACAACCTTGCCTCCCTGACGATTGATGAACTCTTTGATCATGGGAACAAAGTCTTTGGCCTTCATGTTTTTGTTGATACCTTCCGAGCTGTTCAGTCCCTGCCTGCCCGCCAAGTTGTTCATAACACCAGAAGAGCTTGGGCCTCCACGCCGGCGATTAGACCCGGGTCGATGACCTACTTCACCAGTCCAGGTAACGGTTCCGGCCGGCATACTGTCCGCTTGTGCACCGGCTCGGCGAAGATGGGCCACAGCCTCACGGCTCTCTTCCTTGGCAGCTTTGCGGAGGACTTCAATGTCGGGTTTGACATTCTGCTTGCCATTCACAATATGCTCATGGTCATATGCACTCCCAACATTGCGAGCAAAGATTCCATC